TTTTTTTTTTTTTTTTTTTTATAATAAGAAAAGGTCTTTCCTTCTCATGTATTTGTGCTTCAGGGCGCAGTTTTAAACCTCACACCTCTCCTCAACATGTTAACTGCTCATCCCTGTAGTCTCCATGCTTGTGGATTTGACATGCGGGCCACAGTGTTTCCCGTTCATGAATGATTTCACCTTTATTTTGGGAACTGTAGTGTAAAATGTATGTATTTGTTCTAAACAATGACCCACTTTTGAGGCTTTCTCCACCCAACTTTTTACTTTCTGGCATTTATAGAAGCCTACTGCAGAAAAAGATTATTTTATTTTTATTTCCCTCTTGTCATTAGTCTGTAGTTCCTGTATGTTTACTTTTCTGAATCTCACGTTTCTTTTTATACGCTTGGTTTTGTGAGTTGGTAGATATGAATTGGGATTCTTCTCAAGCTGTGCGGCAAAAGTTTGAACCATTTTCATTCTCTGCTTCGGACTCTTTGGACTTGTTATGGATGCAGGCCTGTGTAAATGCTAAATTGGTGGAAAGTAAGGAGAGGTTTTGATTGGAATGTCTTTTTTGAATGGAAGTTGGAAACAGTTTGTTCCTGTTTCTAGTGGTTGGGAAATGTTGCAGATGGATTATTGGCTTAGCCAGAGTTTGAACTCAGTTGTAAATTAGTTCTTTCACGTAGCAAGACATAAAACAAAACTCTTTGCCTTTTTTATATAATTATCTGTAACAAAATGTTTTTACATGTTGTCATCTATTGATTGCTTTTTGTGTCTTGACATAAAAGTAATGGAATTCTGTCTCTGTGTTCATTTGTCTTGTTTTGCCTGCATTTTTGTTGCTTTGTTGTGTTGCTGATGGTGTCTGATGGTCTTGTCTTCTGAGAAATGTAATGTACAAGAAATATAGATGACCAGCAAGAGATTAAAGATTATTTGTATCAGGAAAAAGAAGATAAATGGCTTTGGGATTTAATTTAACCTCAATATTCTCTTCCAGTACGGTAAGTAAAGTGAAAATGTACTATATTTTTCCCTCAAATGTCTGTAAAATTATACTGTCATTAACAAAGGTTATTTGGCTCATAAGTGTACAGCATGGATTTAGAAAATGGGTAACTCTATACATGTATGAAAATGCATGTATGTATATGCATATAAAAAAACACTGCCCATAAACCTAGGGGCATTTCTTCGCTTCAGAATCATATATATATATATGTATATATGTGTGTGTGTGTGTGTGTGTGTGTGTGGGTATATATGTGTACAGGTTTATATATCCTGGTGGGGACTTAAACCTGAATACACACAGACACATGGGGACTTGTGTCACGGTGGGGACCTAAATTGTGGTCCCCACGGGTACAAAAGCTTATAAATCATACAGAATGAAGTTTTTTGAAAATCTAAAAATGCAGAAAGTTTCCTGTGAGGGGTAGGTTTAGGTGTAGGGTGATAGAAAATATGGTTTGTACAGTATAAAAACCATTGCAATAGAATGGTCTGTACAGTAGAAAAACCATTACGCCTATGGAGAGTCCCCACAAGGATAGCTGACCAGACGTATGTGTGTGTGTCTATACGTATATGTGTATATATTTATATATGTGTGTGTATGTATATGTGTGTATATATATATATATATATATATATATGTGTGTGTGTATGTGTATATACAGTAAGCGCAATCGATTACGATTGGTTCGTCCAGACCAGCGCTGAGAAAAGTAGCAGGTGCCAACTGACATATCCCTTTTTTTTTCATACATGAGCCGTTGAAAAAACTCAACAAATTAAACCAATAATACATAAATTGAAATGGTTGGAAATAATATTTCCGTTTTTGTTAGAAAAATATTGTTTGTCCGTTTTTATTAATGTGGTTGACTAGAGTAAATCAATACGTGGTCGTTTTAAAAATAATTTTGTCTTCGTTCGCTTGCCGTACAGAAACGATCTCCATGGCAACTGCTATTCCCCTCAGCGGAGCAGCATCGGATCTTTACCACAGACAATCACTTCGAAACGATCGTCCTGCTAGCAATTGTTTTCCTCTTGTTTTATTTTAATGTTTTTTTCTGTTTTACACAGTTGCTTTGCTAAATACTTGGCAGTGCGTGAATGGGAATCAAAGACACATTTCTGCTTCGCTAGCCCGCTAACGTTAGTGTGGTAGTAAATTAGTGTAATGGATCAGTACGTTATTCTGGGCAGGATTGGGGAAGGAGCTCACGGAATTGTTTTCAAAGCCAAACACATCGAGGTACGACTGGACTGTTTTCGGTTATCTATATTAATCCTGTGTAAATGACAATAGCTTAGTTATAAAAGCTGAACACTGCGTTATCTGTATTTTCAGACAGGAGAGACGGTGGCTTTGAAAAAAGTAGCTCTGCGAAGACTTGAAGATGGAATTCCAAACCAGGCCCTACGAGAAATCAAAGCCCTGCAAGAGATTGAGGACAACCAATATGTGAGATATACTGACCACTGAAGATTTACAACGTTTTTGTTTAGTAAAGTCAAGATAATCTATTTTTTGCTTAGAACTTGAAGTAACTCTATATCTATGCAACTCACATTCTATGAATAGGGAAGCCCATTTGCTTCACATAATAAAAATGTTTTTGGAAATTCTGACATACTAAGTCATACTTTGGAGATGGAATGAAAATTATGGTAAACTAAGTCATAATTATGGCAAAAATGTGACATGAAAGTCAAAATTATGACAAAAGGTTTAGAATTTAGGGATGAAAGGTCAAAATTATGACATTGTAAGAAAAAGTGAAGACGTCGAAGATCTTGACGAAGAATAAATTTTATTACAGAATAGTAGTGACAAAGTACATGTAGTACCTTGGGTTCAACGGAGTCAGACTGAACCCCGAACATCCTAAGCTCAAACATTTTATACACTTAGAGTTTACCCTCAATGTAAAGGAAGTTGCTCCTGTTGTTACAGCTGTGGTCTGTATGTTAATTAAGTTCTGACACCCCTTTTGTCTGAGGTGGTTCTCAGTGTCCCACAACTGCTCCCATTCTACAATTGGTCACCATTTGCTCAGGATGTGATCATCCCAAGTGATCTACAAACAACATAACTGTTGACTTTCTTCTTCTCTATAATAATTAAGCCATTTTGGGAAATGAGCATGATCAAACATATTGTGGAGTGGAATCTGGGTCGGGGCAGACTATAGATTCTTACAACATACTAAGTCATTATGATTATGAGATCAAAGCCTAAATTATGACAGTCAATTGTGAGATATGAAGTCATAATTGTGAGATGAAATGTTGAAATTGACATGCTAAGTCATTTATGAGATGAAAGTTATGATTTATGAAATGAAAATTATGGCAAAATTATTATTAGTGTTATTTATGAGATAAAAGTCAAAACAATATGACATAAGTTGTAATTATGTTGAGATAAAAAGTTAACATTATAAAACGTTGAAATTATGAGTCATATTTATGATATGAAAAGTTAAAATTATGACATACTAAGTCATGTCAGTCATTTATGAGGTGAAGGGGTTTATTTATGAGATATTTATGAGATTACATTTTATTATTTATATTATTTAGATATTTTATGAGATGAAAGTCAATATTATAACACAAGAATTATCGGTCTTAACTATGACATACCATGGCAAAATTATGACATAAAAAAGTAATATGTACGAGATGAAAAGTCAAAATTATGACATACCAAGTCATCACGACAGTAAATTATGAGGAAAAAAAGTTATGATTTATGAGATAAAAAAATACAACATACTAAGGTGAAATGATGAAAAGTCATTGATAAAAAGTTGAAATTGTGACATACTATGTCATAATGACAGAAAGTCATATTTATAAGATGAAAGTCAAAACTATAACATAAGGTTGAAATAATAAAAAGTCATAACTATAACAAAAAGTCAAATCTTTTGTCACGGTTATGACTTTTTATGTCATAATTTCAACTTTTTGTCATAATTGTGATTTTTTTTGTGCCATTTTGATTTACTATTTGATTTATAGTTTCATTATTTGATCTCATTATTTTATTCATATTTTGATCATCTCCATAGGTGGTGAAGCTGAAGGACGTCTTCCCCCACGGTACAGGCTTTGTGCTGGTGTTTGAGTACATGTTGTCAGATCTGTCAGAAGTCATTCGGAATTCCCAGCGTCCTCTCACCGCATCCCAGGTCAAAGGTTACATGATGATGCTGCTGAAAGGAGTGGCTTTCTGCCACGAGAACTCCATCATGCACCGGGTGAGACTGTGTTCCTGATGCCATTACATTTGTCCTTCACTGTGATCTGTCCTATATATGTGCTTCACATGTATTTGTGCGTAGGATCTGAAGCCTGCAAACCTTCTAATCAGCTCGACGGGTCACCTGAAGATCGCTGACTTCGGTCTGGCCAGGCTCTTTTCCAATGAAGGAGTTCGTCTGTACAGTCACCAGGTGGCCACCAGGTGATCATTTACTAGAGCTTCTGTCATGCTAGCATTGAGCTCCATTGGTCCTAACAGTGAGTTTCAGCTACAACATAGATCATATGTGACCCTGGAGCACAAAACCAGTCTTAAGTCGCTGGGGTATATTTGTAGCAATAGCCAAAAATACATTGTATGGGTCAAAATTATCGATTTTTCTTTTATGCCAAAAATCAGTAGGATGTTAAGTAAAGATCATGTTCCATGAAGATATTTTGTGAATTTCCTACCGTAAATATATCAAAACTTAATTTTTGATTAGTAATATGCATTGCTAAGAACTTCATTTGGACAACTTTAAAGGCGATTTTCTCAATATTTAGATTTTTTTTTGCACCCTCAGATTGCAGATTTTCAAATAGTTGTATCTCGGCCAAATGTTGTCCTATCCTAACAAACCATACATAAATGGAAAGCTTATTTATTCAGCTTTCAGATGATGTATAAATCTCAATAAATAAAAAAAGACCCTTATGACTGGTTTTGTGGTCCAGGGTCACATATGACTAAAAATATTTGTTGTGCTGTGTTTCAGATGGTACAGAGCGCCAGAACTTTTGTATGGTGCCCGGAAATATGATGAAGGAGTTGATCTCTGGTAAGAAATTGTGGAATAATTTTTTCCAGTCACCAACTTTTTTAATGTAATATTTCAGTGTTTATTATAAGTGAACTATCAACTATCAGTTTTATCTATTTCTATCCATTTTACAATGAATTATAATTTCTCTAAGAATAATCCAATGTATTATGGAATTACTGAGTCTTTTTTTTGGAAATTATTTCAGATGAATTAAGATGAACTAAATTGTGTCAGATTTCATAATATTATGAGTACAAATTGTATTCAAATGAGCATCAAGGCAAATATTTAGGTACTTGCTAGTAGTTCATTTTGTGAACTTTCTTTCCTCAAGTGTCCACTAGGTGGCAGTAGTGCCTATTCTACGCTCAGCAGGTGTCTCTGTGTGTCTCTTCTGGCTTGTTTCAGGGCAGTGGGCTGTATTTTTGGGGAGCTGTTGAACAACTCTCCACTTTTCCCCGGGGAGAATGACATTGAGCAGTTGTGTTGTGTGTTACGAGTGCTGGGAACTCCCAACCACAAAGTTTGGCCAGTGAGCTCTCATTTACATTCGCTATGCCTGTTCATCATTAAGTTTAGATTAGAGCAACATGACACACAATGGGTGAACTGTGTGTGAATGTTTTGCCTATGATGATTCAATCTAGGAAATAACAGAACTACCAGACTGCAATAAGATCACGTTTAAAGAAAACCCCCCCATTCCTTTGGAGGAGATCGTGCCTGACACGTCAACGCAAGCTGTGGACCTGCTGAAGAAGTTCCTCGTCTATCCATCCAAACAGAGGATCAGTGCTAGACAGGTGCACATTTGAAGTTCTGTGCAGGTTCATTCAGTCATGTACATCGAATGAGACTCATAATGCCCCGTCTCTCTCCACAGGCTTTGCTCCATCCGTATTTCTTCACAGACCCTCTCCCGGCTCATCACTCAGAGCTGCCCATCCCTCAGCGTGGAGGAAAGCACTCCAGACCGCATGCAACCCCCTTATGAATTCACAGTGGATCGACCTTTACACGAGAGCTTGGTGGACCCCAGTCTGATCCAGAGACATGCGCGGAGCTGTTTATGACAGCGGTATGAGCAGAAATGTAGGGCTTTGTACTTTGTTTCACACCAGGAAGTGGCCCATTAAGTCATACACATTTATTTCATTTTTTAAGGACAATGAAAAAAGAAATAACATGTTTAAATTATATGTTATACAGGAATAGGCTATATAATGTTTAAATTTGGCTGAATATACTTTTAGTGAACATGTCTAGCTTTATTTTTCTGTTATATGTGTTTAAATTTCATCAAATATTTTCAAGAAATTATCGCTTATTAATAATCAATACGCAAAAAGTCATAATTATGACAAAAAGTCAAAACATTTGTCACAATTATGCTTTTTTTTGTCATTATGATTTACCAAAGCATGATTTGTCATTTCTTGAGGATGAAATTAAATAAAATAAATGTGCAAATTATTTATTATAATGCTCTATTATACAGGTTATATAGTGTTTCCGTTTTGCTGAGTATACTTTTAGTAAACTTTCAAATGGCCTAGATTTACTTTTTTGTGATAGGTGTTTAAATTTCTAATAAAGATTTTTTTAAAGGAATAATCAATTATGGGATGCAAATTATGACATACTAAGACATTGTCAAGTTTATGAGATGAAAGTCAAAAGTATAAGTCATAATTATGACAAAAAGTCAAAACATTTGTCATAATTTTGACTTATAATGATTTACCAAAGCATGATTTGTCATTTGTTGATGATGAAAAAAGAAATAAAATATTCAGATCATTTTTTATAATGCTCTATTATACAGGAATAGGTTATATAATGTTTCAGTTTTGCTGATCATAGTTTTAGTGAACTTTCAAACGGCATGTCTAACTGTATTTGTATATACATATTTCCGTTTCGATTTACATGCAATAAGTTACAGTACACATGCTAGAGGAGTAGCCTATTTGACTTGATATCATCTCAAGCTGTTTTACTCACTTCACTTCAGAGGAATTGTAAAATGAGAATGGGAAAAAAATTATTCTTCCTTTTTCCTCAACAACCATTAACCTTATCGTTTCACACCAGCCGGTGTAAATGAACTGGTTTGGGTTTTATTCAGTTAGGCGCAGCTTTATATGGTAACGGATGTACCAGAACAGGTTTGGTCATGTAGTTTAGTGCCAACACTCTTCAGAGCACCATGTTTTTGCATCGCCAGGTAACTAGTTTTAAATCATACACTACCATTCAAACATTTGGGGTCAGTTAGATTTTTTTCAAAGAAATTAATACTTTTATTCAGCAGGGATGCATTAAATTGATCAAAAGTGACAGTGAAGACATTTATAATGTTACAAAGATTTCTATTTCAGATAAATGCTGTTCTTTTGAACTGAAACAGACGTATCCACAAAATATGAAACAGCACAACTCTTTTCAACATAATTATAAGAATAAGATAATTATAAGAAATGTTTCTTGAGCAGCAAATCAGCATATTAGAATGATTTCTGAAGAATCGTGTGACACTGAAGACTGCAGTAATGATGCTGAAAACTCAGCTTTTTCATTACGGGAATAAATTACATTCTAAAATATATTCAAATAGAAAACAGCTGTTTTAAATAGTAACAACATTTAACAATTTTTCTGCTTTTACTGTATTTATGATCAAATAAATGCAGCCTTGGTGAGCATAAGAGACTTCGGTCACACTTTATTTGAAGGTGTCCTTGTTACAGTGTAATTATACATTTAAGTGCTGAGTAATATTATAATTAACTACATGTAGGCCTACTTACTATATGGTTAGGGTTTGGCTTGCATGTAATTATGCATAATTTATTGTTATTACAATAGTAAGTACATGTAACATGTAACAAGGACACCTTCAAATAAAGTGTTACCGAGACTTCTTTCAAAACAGTAAAAACATCTTACCAGCTTAAAACTTCTGAGCATTAGTGTACATCCCCTGTTATATAGTTAATAATAATAGGGAAACATTCTACCTTTCAAATGATCGTTACATTGTTGAAAAGCTGTGAAGGAAACTAGTCTTATCACCGAACATGCAAACAACTAGTTTCTATTAATAGTGCGTAAAGCAGTTCTGTCCTTGTTTTATAGCTTAGATTATTTACTTAATTACTGAATTACTTTTTTTCATTTCACTTAATTACTTTAACCACTAACTCAGTCATAGTGGTGAATCATTTCACACAACCTCAAAGGTGGTGGTGGCAAATACTGTAACTTGAATAAATCTTCAATTAACATAGACATGATAGTGCAGTTAGGGCACATAAACTCCAAACCAGGATTTTTGTTCTGTTGTAGTCTGTTAAAAATGTCATACTTTACATTTTTTTAGCTGAATGACAGACACTCTCTAACACACAGCATCATTCACCGCTCTAATTTCCCTTCTGACTGAGCAAACAATGGGAAAGAAAACGGTACGTTTTGATTAACAAATGACTTTCACAGCCCTGCTCTGTGTGCATGTGGTCAGGCTGGATGTCTTTAGAATGATTGCAGCATTTGTCTCTATTTGCATTAGTGCAATCCGCTCAACTGCCCTCTTGTGTTACATATTAACCTGCGCTTTGCATCTATCATTGGCTCCACTTTCCCTTTTGTTCCATCAGTGGTTTGGCTTTTATCAAGATTTTTTTTATGTTGGTTATAATTCATCAAATTTAAAGCAAGTTTAGTTAAAGGGATTGTTCACACCAAAATAAATACTGTTATTTGCTAATATCTTATTGCTAAAATATCTTGTCAGAGATTGTCAAAATTTGGAAAGACATGAGAGTGAGTAAATGATGGCAGAATTCATATAATAATTGCTCTATATTGTATTTTACCTTTTATATATATATATATATATATATATAAAACAAAGAAAAAAATTGAGAATTTACTCAAATGTATATTTGATTCAACTTCCACATAGAAACCTTTCTGTGTGTTTTAGCAGATCTGAGTATTTGATTTTGGTCATTTTACTCTTTGCATATTTGTAATTCTCATTTGCAGTGCAGACTGATGTGGGATATTTCCAGACTTTTTTGTGCATTTGTACTCATTTCGGCACCACTTTTGCTGAAGCTGACCTGTCTTTGGCTCCGCCCACTGTCCCCACATGTCTAACCTCAATCACCCACAATGCCAGAGCACAGAAACCTTCACACATAAAGTTCTGCCCCATCAGCGGCGCTCATCTTCATCGCAGACACCTGTCCTGAAGACTGAAGAGATAAGCTCAGGTATGCCACTTTACAATCAGATCTACATTACCATATCTACAGCTGCATTAGCAAAGCAAACAATGCAAGTGATGCTTATCATGTTTTTAGAGTCATTTGATTCTAAATGTAATTTCTGTTAAATGGACAGGCGAGACTGTCATTGCTGTTGTGATTTGTCATGCACTTTGCTATGTGAAAGTATGGGTTTTGTGAGAATATGATTTGAAATGTAAATATGGTCTTGTGCACATATAATAAATGTTATTACGATTGATTTCCAAAGATATAATGTTCTTCTGAAATGTATTTCTATGTGGTCTCTTACAACTTTTAACTGAAGATATTCTATTGCAGTTATTGAAACAAATAATAGTTTAGACTGTAACTGATACACTTAATGCAAAAAAAAAATCCTCATTGTACTACACTTTAACATGCTACTGCAGAATATATATATATATATATATATATAAATGTGTGTGTAAAAAGTTCCTGACAGACATGGAGACCTCCGTTGAACAGGCTCGCTGGGTTTCCTCCTCCATGGCATCATCAGAGGTGATGCCCTCTTACCCAACTGACTCCAGTTATATGGTCCACACTGAAGAGGGTTTGATGTTCCCCTGCAGTGATGCCGATTACAGCAGCCTGCCCTCTTTGTTCAGCAGCCCGATCCATGGCTGTCCATCTGGAGCTTTTCAAAACAGCCCAGGTACAGGACACAGAACACTGTATTATGGCAGTATCACATGGTACTTTGATATACACTACCTACCATTCATCCAATCGCTGTGAGATTTTTAAATGCTTTTGAAAGAGAAGCATCTTATTCTCACCGTATTTGATAAAAAAAAACAGTAATATTGTGAAATATCATTTCAATTTAAATATCACTATTTTCTGTTTTGATATATTTTGAAATGCAATTTATTCCTGTGATGAAAAGCTGAATTTTCAGCATCTTTGATTTGCTGTTTTAGAATAGAAAGTTAGAAAATACAGCATTTATTTAAAATAGAAATCTGTTGTAACATTATAAATGTCTTTACTGTAATTTTTGATGAATTTAATGCATTCTTCGTCGATAGAAGTATTAATTTCTCTAAATACGTTTACATCATACTTTTAAGAACTATGCCATAATATTAGCATGTCCAAAATGTACTGTGCTGCCCTATGAAGTAAAAAGCCAATAAATAATATAACAAAGACCCTCTAGTACAGAGAAAATATATGTAAGCCAAAACTTGTACTTCAGTATTTAAAAGGTAATTTACAATGCATTACAGTCATTTTGATGCACCTAGATGTTAAGCTAAAAATCAGTATCTTAAAACTTGGTTTTAAAGTTGTTTGACATCTTCAGCAATGGTTATATTTAAAATGTATGGCTAAAGGCTGTGTTTTGTCTTTTCACAAGGACAAATGACCCTAGCTGTGACCAGTTACACTAAAAAGAATGTCGTTGGCTGTTTTAAGTAAAAGTTGAATTAAAAAAAGTGATTCATTTGTCTCCAGAAACTTGATTTCAGTTCCTTGAAATCAAGTGCCTAACTGAATAAAACCCAAACCAGTTCATTTACACCGGCTGGTGTGAAACGATAAGGTTAATGTTGTTGAGGAAAAAGGAAGAATAATTTTTTTTCCATTCTCATTTTACAATTCCTCTGAAGTGGAGTGAGTAAAACAGCTTGAGATGATATCAAGTCAAATAGGCTACTCCTCTAGCATGTGTACTGTAACTTATTGCATGTAAATCGAAACGGAAATATGTATATACAAATGCAATGTATATTGTTCCTTGAGCTTTCCTTCCTCTCTCCCTCAGTATATCCTGTTTACTCCTCTCCATTCCTCGGAAACCTGTCCTGGCTGGAAAGTTCTAACAGCCCCGCTCTAACCAACCTCTTCCCATCATCCCCATCATCCTGGCACAGCAGTGCGTTTTCTAAGGCATCCTCGTCATCCTTCCACGGCTCCACGGCTCTCTCCTCTGCCAGACCGCCTCGTTCTGCCCTTCACTCCCCTATCCAGCACCAAAAGGAGACCTTCGGTGTGCAGGAGAGTGTGAAAGGAGAGAGGCTGAGTCCTCCTGGAGGTGGGGAGGCGTTTGGCGGTGTGTTTCCCCCCTCAGTGAGCGACTCTTTAAAAACACACTCGCAGTCCCTGCCCCACTACAGTCCCTACGGGAGCTTCACGCAAGACTACAACGGTTCACTTCTCTACACACCCTCGTCCTTCTCACCCAAATTATGCAGCAAGATGACATTCTCTCCTTTAGGTGAGGAAGCATCATAAAGGGCAGATAATGTGGGGTGGTGCTGGAGTTGTGGGTAAAAACACTGCAAAAAGCAATTTTCTTATTCCCTATTTTTGTCTTGTTTTCCAGTACAAATATATTAAGTTTTGTTTTCGGATAAAATTAGCAAAAATGAACTGGCTTTTTGCTCAAAACGGGAAAAAAATATCTGGCAATGTGGTCAGAAAGATAATCTTGTTTTCTATTGGATTAAGTGTATTTTTCATCTTTCTGACCACATTGGCAGAGTTTCTTTTTTTGTTTTAAGCCAAAACTTTTTTCTTTCTTTTTTTTCAGAAAATGACTTAATATTTGATGTCATTTTCCTTCTCAATTAATTGTATCATTGTTTAAGAATGTTTAGATATTTGTACTAGAAAAAACAAAAATACAATCTTTTTTCTGCAGTGAAGTTAAGCAGTTCTAGAGTCAAACCTTTCATGATGTGATCCATTTACTTGGAGCCATACTGTTTTTTTTTATTCCGTTTTTGTTAAATTTGTTATAATATCCAAACAAACATATTTCTCTCCCAACATTTATAATAATTAAATATAATAATAATAAACTCAAAAATGTGAAGTCATGTTAATTTAAAATGACTCAAATCTGTTATATACCTTTATAATGTACTGACAACCACGATAACAATACAGGTGGTAATGAGAAAGCTACAAAATCAGAGTTCATCACAAGTAGCTTTTCTACAAGCTGAGGTAAATACTAACACATATGACACTAAAATAATGCAATAAATATTAATTAACATAAGATGTAGCTTAAAACCCTAATGTACATAACTGGCAATAAAAACTAAGATGAACGAATCAATGAAAAATGTGAGCTGTCACACAGGGAATTCTGGGAATGTCAATTTACAGTTTTTAACTGTAAACTACAAGATGACTTATTCTTTTCACTTCCAAAAATTGTACATTTAACAGTTGTTTACTGTAAAATTACATGAAATTATCATTTTTAGATACAGTTTCACAGTATAGCTTAAGTGAACTTACTGTTAACCAACTAACAGGTTTTTACCCTAGTATTTTTCCTGCCAAAATTGCGATGATTTTTTACAGAGTACAATCTTAAAGTTGAATATTCTTCAGTGGTTCTTTGCAGTACCTTTGCAGAGCACTTTGATGTTACTCTGAAGGTTCTTCAGATCAGCACTTCGGTTTCTGAAATGTATAAAAATCACCAGCACATAAATGGTTTTCTAAAAAACTAAAGAATAAAAGGTCTTTAAACATTCAAATTGAAATCTTAAAGATATTTTTGAGTGTGTGCTTCTGATCAAGCTGGGCAGTGACGTGTAAAATACAGAGTTCTGGCATGAAACTCTAGATGGCGCAGTCCGATAGGTCTAACTCAATCTGACCTAATGACATCATTATCACATAGCACAGCTGATTGGTTTTCTCCTGTATCAGTAGCCAATGAGCTCACTGGTCAATATTCAAAGACCTGGCTTTTGTTTGCTGTAGCAGTTCGCAGCGCACTTCAGAAACCCTCCACCTTCCCCAGCTCCACCTGTATAGATCTGCTACGAGGTGATTCATGTATGCTTTGGGGGTTATTCATATGCGTATATGTGCAGCAGCAGTATTTCCTACATGCTCACAGCAGCATGTTGTGGATGTATTGGCAGTAGCAAGTCTCGGTACACTGCTGCGTAGCAGATCTATTCCGCCAAGACCAAATACATTAACATTGTCATGTACAATACCATGCCAATCCCTCCGAGAGTTGTCATGACAGAACATTATTTCTGATCTTTTGTGGTGGCAGAGCCGCGTGAGTGTGTGAACTGTGGGTCCACTGCAACCCCTCTGTGGCGGCGTGATGGAACGGGACATTACCTCTGCAATGCCTGCGGACTGTACCACAAGATGAACGGACAGAACAGACCCCTCATCCGGCCAAAAAAGAGACTGGTACACCTCTCCCATACTCACTATACTGATAAAGAGAACAAACTTTTAAAAAAGACTGCATTTATTCGATCGAAAATACTATAAAACAGTGAAATATTATTACAATTTAATATAACTGAGATTTGTTTGAAAATTATTTTAACTGTAATTTATTCCTGGGATGCAAAGCTGAATTTTCAGCATCATTATAGTCTTCATTGTCACATGATCCTGCAGAAATCATTCTAATATGCTGATTTGCCGCTACTTATACGTTGAAAACTGTTGCGCTGCTTAATGTTTTTGTGGAAAACGTGATACATTTGGATTCTTTGATGAATAGAAAGTTCAATAGAACAGCATATAGTTCAAATATATTAACAATTTGCAGCATTATAAATGTCTTTGCTGTCGCTTTTGATCAGTTTAAAATGTCCTTGCTGAATAAAAGTATTAATTCTGACACCAACGTTTTAAACACTAGTCTATATAGGATCTATAGACTTTCTGCTATATGATATTTCTCTTTCTGTAGGTCATCAGTAAGCGAACAGGAACTCAGTGTGCGAACTGTCAGACCAGCACCACCACGCTGTGGAGACGCAACGCCAGTGGAGAGCCTGTGTGTAACGCTTGCGGACTCTATTTCAAGCTTCACAATGTGAGCAACTTCACTCATTTCACATGACTTTTTTACTAAAACGTAAAACGAGTGTCATTTTAATATAAAAAGTTGTGTCACTCAAGACTTAGCACTGCAAGAGTGGGAATTGCGGCACACAAACTGCATCCAGCACTACATTTTTGCCCGCATTTGTGCTGTTACCTGATTTGCATGAATTCGTTGTATGAATTGCAATGAAAAAAAAAACATTCATAGTAAATTCCTTCTTGTAGCTCTTTCAAAACATTTCGACATATCCAACATGTCAGCTTCTGACGTACACAACACCGTAAGGGAGCTTTTCAACCAGTTTTTCATTATTCATGCAATTCCATTTGGCCAGAAATTCGGTGTTCTGTGTCTAATACTTCAATCCTTCTCATCAGGTGAACAGACCGCTGACTATGAAAAAGGAAGGCATTCAGACACGTAACCGTAAAGTGTCCAGCAAGAACAGGAAAGGGAAAAGGTTTAGCGCCACAGAGGAGAATCTGTATTTTTCAAAGAATCCTGCGTCTGATCAGCATTTCGACTTGTATTCTCAGAGTCCAGGAGCTCTGGGCGTCTACAGCCACTCTTCCCATTCACTGCCGCCCACCGCTGCCTTCCACAGCCACACCAGCCTGCCCTACCCATACCACCCACAAGCTGCCATCTTACCCAGCGTGGTGTGATGGAAAC